GCCGTCATCCCTACTTCGTACCTACCTGTGCCGGGCTTCTCTGCAGTCAAGACGACCAGTCTCCATCCACCCATCCATATTCACGCCTCCTCCAATGCAGTTCGTCAGTCAGCTTGTCAGCTCAGTATCTCGTTCGAGCCAATACCTTGGCCCTGTCCTGTTCGTTCTCCGTTCGCTGGCCGAAACCCCCTTGCTCTTGACCAAGTAGTAATGCATACTATGCAGTACGTATGTAGTATCCGAAGCTGTCCATCCATCCACCCACCCACTCGACTTGCAGCCTGCTTGTCCTCCGTTTGCGCCTCCGCTGCTGTCCACATTTGGATTGGTTCAGACCGGGTGCATCGACCACCAGCACGAGTGCATTGCATCCATCACACGGACGGGAACCTTGAAGCAGCGTTTTGGTTCCTGCAGTAGCTCCAGTCAAGCTCGCGTTTCTGCGATGGACTCACGTAGGTCAAGGCTGCGCACTGTGCAAAGCCAAAGCCAGTCGTCTCTTGTGTCTCTTGGTCTAACGTCGCCTGGTCTGGTGAGCCAATTCGCCGCTGGCTTGTTGGTTGGCGATCCGTCCTACAAAGTAGGTAGGCTGTGCATGAGCATTGCACAGCTCTTCCGCTGACTAGGCTGAAGCCGTCGCATTCTCAGCGTGCCCAAAAGTCCCTGTGCTCGACGCTCGCTGATCTGCCCAGCACGCCCTCTCAAGCGCCGCGCTCATCACCAGTCGCCTCTAATGGTTTTAGGTGCCCCTATCAAGATAGGTACTACATTACCCTTTCAGCTGTACTATGAGCGCCAGAAGTTTGAACAACCCAAGATCACCAGCTGTATCCGCAAATTGGATACTATCTAAAATGTTTAACCACGTAATTGGCCGGCTCAAGAAGCTTCAGCCTCAACACATGGATGTGCAGTCCTTCTTCCAACTCCGGTAGACTACTTACTTTGAAGCAGAAGAAATATTCCACGAAACGCGCCACTATAGCTGCTGCTGCTGCTGGCAGCCGCCTATCTTTTATCCAATGGTCACATGAATACCTTAATGTAGGTACCTTACCTATATACCCATATCTCTACGAAGGTGGTAGGTATATTAACAAGACTTCGCCCGTGACGAAACCGCCAAGCAATGCTGATTTATTACCCTACCATTCACCCTTGCTTGGATACCCGTCTGACAACCTTGAAGTTACAACTCCCAAGAGCCGCCGGCTTGACGTTTTGATGCCCTGATTCAAGTGCCTACCTGCCTGCTACACACTTCTTCAATATTTGAAACCAGCGTCACGTCAAAACTAGCATCTATCACTTTAGATCTTTTTTTTTTTACGCGCGTCTTCTCCATATTCCGCTCCATATACCGTAATTGAAAAATTTCTGGGAGTTTCAACAGATTTTGCTGCGTTCTCCAGAGAAAGTCCCAGACGGTCCATGAAAAGAGTGCAGCTTGAGCCAATACTGCAGAGCACACGGCAAGCATAAAAGAGCAGAATAAGAAGCAAGCACATGGAATGCTACGTCTTATGCCCGAAATCGAGTCAAGGGCAAGCTTTCAAAGTGCCTAGGTACGGTATACCGAAAATTCTCAGTGCCAACGGCGCTCATAACAGATTCCTGACTTTCACTACACTGGCTCGTTCATGTCCCTCTATTTCCTGTCTGTGCAAATGCAAAGTTTAAACCCGGTCGTGCCGCAAAAGTGCATATAGATAGGCAGTGATATGCTTTGAATGTTGCTGCACCAATCTAGTTGAATCAAACTAAGAACCAAAAAAGTTATGCGAAAACAAATCCAGAGTTTCGTTGGAAAAAAAAGGTCGATCCGTCCATTGTTTTGTCGATGCGGAAAACTTGTGTCTGCCTTTGCAAGAGAGTCGGTCTATCAGGTCCTTGGATGCAATGGCGCACAATGCGTTTCGCTCTACTTGGTGTTGAGTACTGTGTAACTCTACCTGGCAGCATTGAGGAGACAGTGTCTACCTGCGGACCATGGCTGTCTGTATTCGGACGCACCACGTACTTTGCGCAATTGATCCTTTATGCTAGTCGGGCTCCTTGCCAATCCTTGATCGTTCATCATGGTAGCTCCTGCGTCTACTATGTATAATGCATAAAGGATCAGCCCAGCGATGCTATGCTCGATGTGTTGTGCAAAGTGATGATCCCTCCATCTGATGTCTTGGGCGGCAGGTCTCCGGTGGCATCTGCCGGGGGGAGCCAGCAGTATGGATCGGTTAGTAGAAGCGCTATGCGAAGTTGCTACCACCATACATGTACGTAAGGATTGCAACTGATGGGGAGCAACCCAGGACACAAGAAAGTCCACTTTCACTCTGAATACCTTTCGGCACGCTGACAGGGCCGATGTCCCTTCTCGTTGACGGGTTAATCCTCGGTAGTGGTCCTCCTTACGGCACTATGGCCCGGAGCCCATCGCGGAATGCCTACGCACGCACGCTACCTGGAACCCTACATACTTATACATAGTATGGGTACACCAGGTCCCTGAGCAAATAGTGTACACTATTCCGTCCAGGGTGAGGACCACGTTCCACAATTCAGGAGCACGTCAAGCGCTCTCCCCCACTGCGCGGCCCCAGACAAGCAGAAAAGAGTCAAAGAGGCATTCTCCTGGCAATGGCTCCGGACCCAGCCGTCCCTGGCTGCATTCGGAGCTTCGTTATCGTTAGGAGGGAGTCGAATCTAATGGTTATTCTGATCAGAGACAGTGAACATATGTACTCTTTGTACGCAAGCAGTCAGCATTATCTTAGTAGCACGGTATCGCAATTCGCCAAGGCCGTGGTAGACTCCTGGTAAGCCGTACCTCTTGTAAAGCCCACTTGACGACACACTTGTCAGAACTTCGAGCATCGTCCTACGACTTTGCAACATTGATACTCTGCCAAGCTCCATCGTAGCAGCAATGTGCCATCCGATAGTCAGTCCCCTATTATCTGGAACAGGCTCGCGCATCAGGCTGCAGATCTGCACCAGCATGTTCGTCTGAAGTCCAACGCGCGTTTCCGTCTTCGGAAGATTACTGTACGATAATCGCCGGGCTTGTACATACATAATATGTAAGCGACATACACCCTGTCCGAGATATCCTGGCTCAATTCCAGTATGCCAGCTCCCCAGGATTCTATCATGAAGAGTTTCTCACAAGGCTTTCCGTGTTACATTTCATACTTCGTAGTGTCTATTGCTCTAGGTAGACAGTGCAACTACTGCTTCATCTAATTGCCGATTTGCCACAAATCCCATCACGGCTTTGGATCATCTTCCGCTTTGTCATGCATCACTAGGTAATCTAGCAATCTGGACCCCTTTTTCATTATTTGCAGGTCAGTCGCCGTACCACTATTCATTGTGCTTCTGTTGCCTTGATAGTCCACAGCCGTCTACCCATTAATGGACTCTTGTAGAGTGCAAACTATAATCAACCCTATGCATATACTGATGCCACACAACAGAACCCAATTAAGAGATACTGATACGACTAGTATCTAAAATAAAGAGTAAAAATAAAGATGGTCTACATCTATGAAAATACTGTGTGAACAAATAGACTTAATCAACCCTTCTCGTTGTGTCACCTGAAGGGTGCCATACAACTAGCTACACTGTGGCGCATCAGATACTTATGAAAGAAGTCGGTCTAATCTCTTTTTCTGTTTTCTACAATAGATACAGAAGCCTTGACCTGTTTCTTCAATAAATGGAGACTTTGTCCAGTATAATGAAGCTTTTGTCTTCATAGCATTCATGATTATCGAGATCTAGTGAGCTGCAGTAACCATTACACGACCTCCGACGGGAAAGTATACGAAAATCTGCCGGAAAGAATATACGGCCCCAGATCAGGTTATGCTCATGTCATTTACTAAAGACGATGACAGGAAGTCTGTACTGCATCTCAATGACGGCGGCACGGTGATGGAACAGAGATACTCTCCTATTCTCTCGACAAAGAAAAAGGGCTAGATGAACCGATACCTGCTAGCCATGAAGACTCAAAGAGTCTTTGAGGAGATTACTGCCTAGATATTGTACAGGACAAAAAAACTCCACCAAATCCAAAGACAGTACACGATTACAGCGCCTGTCAACCAGCTGCTTTAGATACGGACGAGATTATGGCTTGAAGAGGATAAGTTGGTTAGAGGTGCTCTGGCACTTCCGTCTCACAAGTTATTTCAAGCTACTACAAAGGCAGCATTGGAAGTGGGTTCACTTGTATCATTCATGAACGACGTGATTCAGGCCTGGAGGAATGTGACGCGGCCATTGCGCCTCACAGCCAGCCCGTATTCAGGTCTAAAATCAGGCCATTGAACGATTTACGATGTGACAGTCAAACATAGGCACACGGTGAAGCTGGTATTTGCGTAGGTCGGCGAGGAGGTCTTTGCGATACTTGATCTGAAATACCCGCCACGAATGAAACATACTTTTGGCTGGAACCGGAAAAGCGAGTAGATATTATTGTAGTTTGTGGCCACGGATATGTCTCCCTGAAGCGCGGTCGAACGCTTTGCTTGTCACATAAATTGGACGGGCAAGGAACTGTTCAGGGTAAATATTCAAAGTTGAGGTCCAGACTGAGCCACGTGTCATGGAAACGATTTCGTTGCTCGTCCAAAGTGCGGTATCATACAACGCTCTTTATATCTACATTTGAGAGTTTATGCAGTAGCTTTCTAATGTTCATTGCGGATAATTGTGAAGACAGTCGCTAAAAAACCGAATATCAACAAACTCGATCGCGGATGTCGTTAGCTCAACATGATTTCTGATTCTGGATGCACCCCTTCAACAGTAGCAGTGAGCAACATGCCCTTGTTTGACGACACAAGCGCTCCGTTTGCTTAGGATATGGTGGCAGTCATTTGCGTGGCAGGGCGCTGGATCTTCTTGGGGCAGATTTCCTACTTTGCTCCGAACCTCCTGCAACACAGGCTTTCGAAACTGTAGAACATATTGATTTGTCCTAAGGATCAAAGATCCTTCATGACCTCTCCAACAGCTTTCGCCGCCATCCGCTTCCTCTGATCCTCCGGCAAGCCTGCACTCATGTCCCTGACAGCTTGCAGTTTGCGCATCATACCCTCGAGTTTCTGAACCTCATTATCATCTAATGTGACACCTTCGCTGTCTCCTGTCGTTTGTACTGTCCGCTGGGCCGGCTCGCCATTCATGAAATCCTCCCCAGACTCCTGTCCAGCGCTCCAAATAGCGCGCTTCAAACCCTCGAAATCTGCCTTGTCAAACCCAAAGTCTAGGCTTTCGGGGTCCAGGTCGGGACCCTTGTCTCCAAAAGAAGTAAGTGCTGGGTCGGTTGCCTCATCGTCGCCGCCATCAAGTGCTGCTTCGAAATCTTCAAAGTCGGATCCCAGATCACCGTCAACATGTGCCCAATCATTTGCTTCCAAAGCTTCCCTGACGCGTGGAATACCGGTCTTTTCTGTTGTACTTGTAAGTCCAGACCAATAGTGGGTGGGCAAAGAAGAAGAAAAGAGCCCTGGCTCTTTCGATCGACATACCTCCATACTCATTTCTTGCCTCGCTCATTTCCGCGCGAACCTGCACGAATTCCAGGCCATTCTCTGCCGCGCACTCATCCCACTCATCGACGTTATCGAGTTCGCCAAAGCCCAGACATAGTCCGACGCCTTCCCACTGCCAGCCGCCGAGCCCTTCCTTGACAACTTTACCAACGTGCTCAATCAGGTCCCTAGCTGCGCGCGCTTCGTCCCCGTCAGGCTTGGTGGGAAGCGGGAAGATGACGACAATGCCGCCAAGAACGTCGAGGACTTCCTTGGCCTCTGGGGAGAGAAAGGACCCCGACCATTCTGATGGCTCTGATACGAGATCGAGCCAGATTGGAACTGTTGCTGTGTAATATGCTGTCTTGAGGTCGAGGTCATGAGTGGTACCTGCCAACGTTTCTGCCGCCTCGGGCGCGTTGCCCGTAAGATCTGGGGGCTTTTGTCTCAGTCATCATTACCTAGGCGGGCAAGCATGGTTGCGGATAGCTTCATGGAAGGAGGACGGCTCGATCGTGATGAGTGGAGGTTGAATCAGCTACTAAATTTTTTTTTTTTTTTTTTTTTAAAATAGGACCATGGCCAAAGAAAGGACCACTTCCATGTTCGGTCGCCACATTATGAAGGACGGATTCTAGGCAAGGACCGAGAGGGGCTTGAAAGGAACGAATGAGTGCCTTTTAGATTTGCTCACCTTTTACGAACCTGCTGAGATGGAGCTCCGAGTCTGCCCGGGAGACGGCTAGAATTCGCCGGGGGTTCGAAATGTCCATGGTCGAGTTTGATTGTGGAATTGTAATATTTTGTAAGTGTTTGGACCTCTTGAATTACGTTGAAACGGGCGATGATCAATCCTGGGAGTCGAGAGCTACCAATGTATTGCTCAGTCTGGTCAAGGCTAGGTAGGAAGGTGGTAAGTAAATTGTAGGTAGTAATAGTTGGACCCTGGAATTGCAGATTGGAGGGGCAAACCAGACAAGAATCGCAACTCCCAAGGATTCACCCCGCCAAAGAAACGCTGAATGACTAAGCTGACATGTGCCCGCCCCGCCCCCCCTCCAAAAAAGAAAGGGGACTGGCCAACTGATGGATTGAAGATGGGAAAGCAGAAGAAGAAATTCAACAGTAGGTATATATGATCCTTCTTCTTTGCGCTTCAATTGATTTCTATGCAGATAGCTGATTTTCTTTTGTTATGTTCCTTGTTCCCACCCTGTATGCAAATCCAACACACCGTTCGCTGCGCACCGTCCCCAACGTGAAGTGATTGTTTGATGCTTCGTTCCCCTTGTTCTTCCCACGTCGATAGTATCCAGGAACCCCTTGCTACACCCTCCTCAAGACGAGAGTATGTATACAGACAGACAGACAGACATACGGCATGCCACCGCTTCAGCCCCGTCCACCATTGTAATCAGCACCCCCTGCCTTCCGTAACCGTGGTACAATCTCCTTCTCGGTGACGTCGCTCTTGTCCCTGGCATCGACGGTGATGGAGTGGTGCGCAAGAACCCTCTTGACGTTGCCGCTCTCAATGCTGACGCGCGCCTTGCGCATGACCTTTGTGTTCTCGCCGATCCAGATCACAAGCGCAAACTTGACCCGCTTCGACTCGGTATCGTTGGCGTACTCGACGCGCACATATGCGTACTGCGCCTGGCCGTCGTCCAGCTTGCCGGCAAGCTCCTCGAGGCCGCCCGTGCCCGTGCCCGTGAGGGTCAACTTATCGCCCATTGCGCTGGCGTACGAGATGAGGAGCCAGTTGGTGGCATCCTTGTCGGAGCGCACGGCATCGTAGGCCGCGAGGATCTCGGGCGCATCAACTCCGGACATTGCGGCGGTGTTGATGGGCGGTTTCGGGAGACGAATTGTAGGGTTCTTGGGATCTTTGATTGATTTCAGGTGAATGAACGACTGACGACGCCGATTGGTCCGGTAGGGAGTGAAGGATTGCCTCGACAAAATATGGAGTGAGTGATGGATGTCGCTTGCGAATTACAATGATCGGCTCCGTGTCTCGGCCACCACACTAATAAGGTACTGAGTACTACTTGACTTACTGGTCACTGACTTGAGTGCGATCGCTTCAGGGGCTCGCTCGCTCGCTCCCGTCTCAGTTCAGGGGGGGTGCCGCCGCCGCTGGCGCCGCTGACGGCGGTTTACCAGCAGCAGGTGAGCACGGGCAGCTGTGGCCATCTGCAGCACCCCCCTCTAGTCCACCTCCCTTAGAACCTCCGTCTCCTTTTCGATCCTGCGTTGGCGGGCCCTTCAGTGGTTTGCTCCGGTCACTGCATGACAATCGAGTCCCCTTTCATCAGGACTTGAGACAACTGACCCTAGTAATGAAAAGGCTTAAGCACCTGCCTCTCTGCCTGCCTTTCTTGGCTCCGTCGATTGCTGGGGGAGGCTGATTGATTGATATTTGTCCGTACTTCTACCCAATGCGATACCCAGCATGCCCTGGCTGTCGTGTCTTGTCCGCTCAACTCGGATCCTCATGACTCCTACCATACAAGACGAACCAGCCATCTCACATCATTCTAGACCCGAAGCTGGCGAGAGCCTACATAGTAGAAGGCATGCTTTGCGTTGGCTAGTATTGCAAGGAACACTCGACTCAACGTGTCGTTGTGGTGGCCTATATCAAGTATAGCCAAATCAAATCTGCAGCGAGTGAATCGCTTCTTGAGGCTCAGCAACGACGACCTTGTCTATGGGATTGGATACGTTTCCCTTACCAGTTGGAAATGGCGCACACTAATAGTTTGAGGGATTGCCTGCCTGCTCAACCTCCAAGTGTGACTACTGTGGTAGTGTCGATTCCCTCGAGTCTGTGTTCCGTTACCACACTGCAATCGGTTAGTAATATCCGCTTTGTGGGGTAAACAATTGTCGATCGCCAATCTCTTCATCCGGGGGATGCTTGTGATCCTGGGGTTGTTCAGCCAAATCGTAATGCCTAGTAGTACTACTATGTGCGTATCCTTACGGGAACCCGTGTCGAGTGCCGAGGACCCCACAGACACGGAAATCCCAGATGGTGACCGCTGCCCTTGTCCATTTCCAGGTTGCCAGGATACAAGCAAGCAAAACAAGGGCCACAGTGTGCCTGCCAAGCCTGGTTGATTAATGAGCCATATTATTGTGGTAGCAGGTTGGATTGTTATGTCATGAATTCAGGTACTGCGGCAGCTGTCGATCAATGTCGTAAGTATAAGTCCTTGCCGCCGCCTGATCGCCCAGTCACAACGAACACTCCTCCTTGGTGACGGCTGTACCTTCGAATACCGCGAGATGGCGAGATTTCTACCGCTTGCACTCCTTGCAGTTCCTACTGTTTTTGGTCTGGACTGCTCGGAAGAGTTCATATCGTCAGCCGTTGCATTCAATGAGAATGCCACTGTGAACTATGTCTACACTGTAGCCGAGGGTGCATCTTTTGGCATTCCGTCATTGGCCTTCCCCGACAATGCTACGAACCTCCCCGCAGTCTGCGCTGTCGGTATCAATGTCAAGTCTTCTCAGAACTCGTCTTACAACTTTGGACTCTTCCTCCCCGATACGACATGGAACCAAAGGTTCTTGGCCACCGGAAACGGTGGTTACGGCGGCGGTATTAATTGGTATGGCAAAGGGCCGAAAGAAAGCGATGACGACTATTGAAATACTAATTTTCTGAAATTTTAGGCCAGATATGGGCATATTCTCGCATTATGGCTTTGCCACCATGGTCAGTATTATACAGCAGTCCATCGACATGGCCACACGAGGATAACCAACAAGACTAACGTGATGGTTCCGGCATTATAGTCTACAGACACTGGCCACAATGCATCAGCCATCGACACTGGAGCGGTAAGCAATTTCTTTTGTATTTTTCTTCTATTCTTTTTACCTGTGTAAGGTCGCCCTGCAAGCATATAATTGCCCGTCTGGTACCGTCTCAGGAGCATACCTAGGCAAAATGCTAAGGACCACTCTAAAGTAACTTGACCGCCTAGAAAGGCAATTGCTAACACAGGTATTGTTGTAGTGGGGACTGAACCAGCCAGAATCCCTAATCGACTGGGGATATCGGGCGATGCACGGGTCTGTCGAATTGGCGAAGCATATTGTTAGTGAATACTACGCTCCGCCAACAGGTATTCAATACTCGTACTATGCAAGTTGCTCAACTGGCGGGCGCCAAGGGCTGAGGGAAGCCCAACTTTACCCGCAAGACTTTGACGGTATCTCTGTTGGCGCTCCTGGTGAGTCCCTGGGAACGTTCTTTTACAATGATATTGATAAGTTCATATGCTGACATGGTCGGTAGCATGGTGGTCGCCTCATTTGGCTGCGCAGACCTTGAGATCTGGTCTTCTCGACTACCCAACCAATTCTAGCAAATACGTCGATCCCTCTCTGTTCCCTGTGATTGTTGCGGAGATGGAAAAACAGTGCGACCCCCAAGACGGCGTTACGGACGGTATAATCTCTGATCCTTTTGGGTGCAACTTCGACTACCAGGCGCTCCTTTGCACAGCTGGGAACGAAACCGGCTGTCTGAGCGAAGATCAGCTTGAGAACGTGTATGCCTTTTACAATGATTGGACCACGGAGAATGGCACGCTCATCTTTCCGGGAGCGACGCTTGGAACAGACGCCAGCGCCTTGATGGGCAGCATACTCCCTCTCGGATATGGTTACTACCAGAATTGGGTGTACAACGATACGACGTGGGACTACACTCAGTTCTCCTATGCAGACGTTCAATTGGCCGACCAGATTGACCCTGGTAATGCGACCGCAGATGCATTTGACATGACCCCGTTTATGCACCGAGGAGGAAAAGTCATGATGTATCATGGCGGAGCCGATCTTCTCATTCCCACGGGAAGCAGCAAGGTATTTTACGACAAGGTTTCCGATACCCTTGTTCCCAAGGGCGTGAACCTGGACGATTTCTATCGATTCTTCCTCATCCCCGGTATGAGCCACTGCTCGGGCTCCGACTCTGCCCCTTGGTACATCGCTGGTGGAAGCCAGAGTCTCGACAACGTAACCCACTCCGTCCCCGGTTATGAAGACGCTGATCACGATATCATCCTGGCGTTGATGAATTGGGTTGAGCACGGGACGGCTCCAGACAAGCTGATCGCCACCAAGTACGTAAATGACACCGCCTCTCTTGGTGTCCAGAGTCAACGACCACTCTGCGTTTATCCCAAGCAAGCCAAATACACGGGATCCGGCGACGTGGACGCTCCAGAGAACTGGGAATGCCAAAATCTTGACTAGTCATAAACAGACCCTATAACACCATTGATTGAAATGTAGCATCCATTGATCTCCTTCCGGATGTGTCTTTGCTCTCTTAAACGGCTCTTTGCCTTTGTTATCTGACTTGACTATTCACTCGATCTATTTTCTAGCCAAGACGATCCAAGCTTCAGTGTAGACCCCTCCATAGACTTCTTTCTCTTTCCTCATTGCCCGCTTGATCGCTTCAGGCCACTGAGCAGCCTCTTCCGCCGTGAAGCCCCGCCTTGCAATCATGGAAGGTGGACTGACCTGCAGAAACTCGAAAAGCCCATCCCAATCATCGCCCTCCTGGACCAAATAGCTCGTCTGCGCGGTTTGAATCTTGCTTGAATCCCAGCCGTCCCCAGCCATCATCTGAGCAAGGTAACCCTCCTGGATGAACTCGGCGCCGTTGACGGGTACCCGGTGCTCCCGTGCCCATTCCTCGCCCTTGATATCGGCCTGGGCGGCGTCGATCATCTCCGACATGGGGAAACGCTTCCAGTTCAGGTAGACGGCCAAGCCCCCGGGAGACAAAACTCTGTACGCCTCTCGGAGGGATTGTTGCTGCTGGTCCTTGGTCCCGACGGTCGAAACGCTGAAACTGTCCACCACGTGGGTAAAGTGACCCTCGCGGAATGACGCAGATAGGTCCAGCGCGTTGGCCACCTTGGCTTCGGTGCTCTGCCAAAGCTCGCTCTGTAGGTGTTGAGATCTGATTTCATCAAACTCTTGAATCATGCCCGGGGTGAAGTCTGTCAATACAATCTTGGGCTTGAGACTGCGTCGCTCGCACCAAGGAATGAGAGCAGAGGTGGCGGTTCCAGGGCCTGAAGCATTGTCGAGAACGACAGATTTGGATGTAATGCCTAGATCACTCTGCTCCAAAGCAGCGACAAAATTGTGCCGTGTCGTGTTGCCCGTCAGGCGAGCGTAAGACGGGGCAATGGAGTTGAAGTATTTCTGTCGGAGCTCGTCGGGAGATAGCTGCAACATTTTGGGAAAACTGGCTGACTCTTGAAAGGAAAAATAACTTAGATGATGCAGAATTGATGAATACTGAAAATTGAATCTTCCGAATGATGTGTATAGCTGTAGTATGTGCTCGACTGGTTGGATGGATAATCAGATCCTAACTAGGTGCCAGGGGCTGGTTCTTATACTCATCGGTGCCCGTAAATCTTTCGGCCGAAACAATTTGACTAGCATCAGCAGCAATGAGAAATAGCTTCATTCCTAGAAAACCAAAATGATGCTACGTTGCAAGCATATTATGTTGTCTTGATACAATTGAAAACCTATACCATATCGACATCAAGTGCTGATCTGCCACTCGGCCGAATCAATCCTTTGGACACGATGTGTGGCGGAGCTGGGCTCGGCCGGGACGCTAGTCTCCGGACCTCCGACCGATTGATGGAGGTGTTCTTCAGCTTTCGCGAATCTCGCGGTGGCGGCCGTTTCAACTTTGGTATTCAATTTTATGAGTGCTTGATGGTTGACAGGATGTTCGGCCTCCTGGCAGAATCCCTCGTGCTCAAATAGCCGAGTGATCATCGTGCCCCAGGAGCTGAAACTGGATCATGTATCCATTCTTGCTACTGGAGTCCAGCGGCTAGAGATGGAACTTTAAGAGCATACTTTAATGGTGCGTTATGTTCTAGTGCTGTGTGGTCTCAAACTTTACAACATGATGTAGACGCAACCGTGACGGTCGCACTTGTCTTGGTAAGTTGCTGGACAGTTCGCCATGCGCCATAGCTCAACATATATTCGTGAAGCATGAACATTATAATCAAGCTGGAGGCCAAAGCTAGCATGTACCCAATGCCAAGATCTATGAGCTTTGTGACAGGAAGCGCACGAGATATAGCCTATGGCCTAAAGGCGACATCTCCAAACATCCAGACGCTATAAATCTCGTCTTGAAAGAACACCAAAAAGTCGTCGTCTCCAACAAGCCTAGGCATGTTTTGTGGTGGTGGCCTGAGTCGAGAATATCCACGCTTGCTTTCCAAGAGATACTCGATATCGCAGTACGGCGAATTGATCATGGAGAGACCACACTCCAGCATCTCTTCCTGGTGACGCCGACGCCTTTTAGCCAAGGTTGTCTCGGCAGATTTGGAAGCTCGGTCAGGAGAATAGAACGGTATAGCGCTCATGCATCTCGGACGCCTTGCTTCAGCACCACCCTTGAATGAGGCCACATGGCAACTGGTGTCACAGTTCACACCGTGCGCGCACAGAAGCCGATCGTTCCATATGTGGAATGTTCTTGGTTCGTAAGAACTGGATGGTTCATGACGCAGAACATGGAAGCATTTGGTGTAGATGTTGAAACAAACGGACACGAGAGTGTGCACAAGCGATGTTCCCAATGGCACCCTTTGGCACTGGCAGTCTATCTCGTGGCAGAGCTCTTCCAGATCAGCAACCCCATTAGGGCTGAAGGTAGGTTGTGGATATATCGATAGAAGGTTGTAACCTCCCCTGGAATTGATTTTTTCCCAACGTAGCTGTGTGGACAGCTCGAGAGCACGACGAGAGAGCATTTGATTTCCCAAAGTGTAAGAAGTGGCGAGTTTGCCATCATTAACTTCGTGAACGGTCATAGACCCATCTGTCAAGGTCACAACGAAAAAGACATTCTTCCTCGTGGGATGAATGATGAAGTCGATGGCTGTATTTGTATTTCCCAACCAGAGCCCCACGCGATGGGATCCCAAGGCTCCGGGCACGAAGTCTCCTTGATCGCCCCAGGTCACTGGTGCTTGTTTGTAAACATCGGACATGTCGATCTGCCGAAGCTTTTGGCCGGGTTCAAAGAGATAGACAGCCGAGTTCTTGGCGATGACCAGAATGGTGTCTCCCTCAGTAAGACAACGCTTGAAGTCATAAGGCAGCTCAATCAGCTGATGTGAATCAGTACCGAGATGCCATACGTGCAAGGTCCTCTCCTTGCCCATGATGAAAAGCTGATCGCCCATGGCGACCTGGTAGCCAGCTCGTTCTCCGCAGTGGCCTGGAAAGGAATATACTCTGCGATGTCTTGTCCGAAGATCGTCGATAACGGCGACATAGGGTATGGCATACGGCTCTGGCCACCAAGCAATCCTTCCAGAGTTGTACAACATGAACCTCGCGAAGCGTGCTAGATCGGTTTCAGGCTCTCGTATGTCCCTATACTGGTGAATGCCACCATCGACGACGGGAACCGCCTTGCTGAGCTTGAAAACTCGGTTGGTCTCGAGGTCCAAGCTGTGATATGAAGAGAACGAGAAAAGCCCATGGTTGCGCAAGAGGTCCTTGACCAATACACGCCTGAAAATCTCCCCTCTCTCTTGACCATGCGCCGCGCAGTCCTCAATGTGCTCTTGGAGGCCGGGGAGCCAGCGCATTGCCAGCCATTGCCAGACCTCATCGCTCAGCCATATGTAACGCCATGAACGACACACATTTAGTAGCACCACGAGATCCTCAGGCCCGAGATGTTCGAGCACAAGGTAGTGGAGCTCCAGTGGGAGGCGACTCAAGCCATCAGTTGCGCCCTCTCTTGCAGGCTTCAAGTTCTTGGCGCGCCGTCGCAACCACGAAACAATTGATTTCATCATAAATCATGAGATGAGCAACAGAAAGAGACAGATTGAGTCAAATGAAAAAAGAATTGGGTCTGACAGGGAGAAATCATGGAATAAAAGTCGCTATTTTGCGCTGTCGATTGATGTAAAAGCGAAAGCGGATCAGGTGCAGTGGTTAGGAGATACAGAGAAGCGCTGTCGGTGGTTACAACAGTAGATAGCTACTACCTAGCGGGTAGGTAGGACTTGGGAGGTAGGCAGCAGTGAGAGTACTAGGTAGTCAGACAGTAAGCGAAACCCCCCCCCCCAAAAAAAGGCACCACACCACAAATTCTTTGATCAGTCGATCTGCCAAAGCCTCATCAAAGTCCCATGATTATTCTGAGAGGTTAATGATAATAAGCAAAAGAAGTAGTCCTAAGAATATACACGCATGATGCGAAAAAGTGACCATGCATTTAGTCGCAACTTGTACTTCGGTGCCTAGCGCTCAGGGCCCTATAGCTAGTAGATACACAGGTACTAACATACACATCCATCACTCAAATCTACCTCCGTGCCAGCAACAAATCTAGTGCTCATATCCATTAAGTATCTCAATGCCCCTGGGAGAATCTGTATACTGCAATCCCCGATTATCCCCCAGATGGCCTCGAATCTCGAATTATTCAATCACAAAGGGGGGCTGGGTATGGGGGAACGGAACAATGTCATCAACCCAGCTTAGAACCGCCCATCATGAGTGTAAAACACTCGGCTGATCGGACCAATGGACTGATTTGCGCTGTCACCACTGGAATGAAAGCTCACAGGCGAGCGCACTCCCGTGATCGCCAAGTAATATACGGGTGACCTGCGCCGTTGGGTACAAGATGATCGACGTCGCTCGTGTTCACTAGATCGGGATGGGCTTCTGAAAGGTTCGTGATGCCAACCAATTTCATGGCACTCTCCATTTCATCTTTGAGGACTATTGTGTCATGTTAGAGAGGGAACCAATAGTAAAACAGGAAAAAAAAAAAAAAAAAAAAAAAGAGCGACTCACTCTCTACCAGGTGTTCCACACCTTCTGTGCCATAATTCAGGGCATATAGGAAGGATCGTCCAATACCAACAGCCTTCGCACCAAGACACAGTGCTTTCAAAATGTCACCTCCTCGTCGAAAGCCGCCATCGACGTAGACATCCATCTTTTGAAAGACCTCTGGGCAGACCTTATGCATCTCCAAGAGCAATAGGATCGAGGGTGGAGAAAAGTCAAGGTTTCTGCCCCCGTGGTTACTCAGTAAAATGCCATCAACTTTGTGCTGCAGGGCAATCTTGGCGTCGGCGGCGGAGCCAATACCCTTCAGAATGATCGGGAGACTGGTGATGCTGCGAATCCACTCGAGATCCTTCCACGTCATGCCTTGATCAATGTATCGTCCCATGAGCCGAGTCAATCCAGCACCAGTCTTGTCAGACGCGGCGCGTTCGCCCGTCACTGGATTGACAATCACTTCATCAACTTTTAAACGCTCGTCCGATTCACGTTTACCTCTACCTGCGGCATCCACTGTCACAAAGATAGCTCTCATGCCTAGATCTTGAGCCTTGAGAAGCATTTTCCTCGACTTTTCCCTGTCCTTGTTCAGGTATAGTTGAAACAGAAATGGGTAGTTTGGTGCTTCCTGAACTATTTCTTCTAAAGAGTAACTAGCACTTGAAGAAATCTAAGACGGTTAAGAAATCATGAGCGTCTAATCCTTAAACAGATGATCGGATTTTGACATTATTACTCACTATCTCCAAGATGCCACTGGACTGAGCTGCACGGGCCAGACCCTTTTCAGCATCAGGATGGATCAGTTTTGCCAGGCCTGTGGGACAGATAAAGACTGGGAAGGCGACAGGAATTCCTAGTATGGTGCTCGAGGTGCTGACAGCAGACACATCCCTCATTACTCTGGGTCTGAACCAGATGCGTTTCAACATGGACTCGTTTGCTTCCTTTGTCCAGCAGTCTGTCGCGGCGGTGGAATAGAAAGCATAAGCCTTCTTGGGCGCACTCAATGCGGCTGCACTATCAAAATCATAGCTTTGATTGAGGTCAGTAAAGCCACATGTGTTGTTGTCAATCGAATCTCTCTTACGCATTGATCATGGTATGCAATGGAGGTCTGATCATATCACCGGGCTTTCCCGTCTGACTTGATGCGGCAGTAGTTTTCGTATTTGCCCAGTTACCGGGAAGAGTAGAAGGGTCCAAATTGCCCCGAAAACGATCCAGACTGAGATTTTCTCGAATGATGGATTGCGAGTGAACCTCTCGGAATGGGACGGTTGCGTCTGCCCCAGCATATTTCAAGATGACTTGGACCGACCGATTAGCTTCAGGCTTATAAAAACACATGGTGATTGACTGACTAGAAGCCCCTCCAGGATGCTCAGATACAAATGTCGTGAGATCCCAAATTTCTTCATTGATGACTAGCCAGCAATCCAGAGCTTGATTGTGCTTCTGGACTTCTTCGGCCGATACCAACTGTATTTCTTCCATGTTGACAAAGACTTGTAGTAGGCCTGCTTACGACTGGCCAGGTGGTAGCTATTAGCCACATTGGGATGCGTATGCGAATTTATTGTCAGAATTTATCTCTCAAAAGAGAATTAATAGCACTTTGCATAACTCGATCTGTCGTTACAGAGAGTAGATTTCATGTAGAGATGAAGAGATCCGTCCGACAGATACCGGCGTAGCCCGGAGCTAGCGGCAAGCAACGGCTCGCCCGCCCTGCCGTCCTACTCCAAGCCGGTTCCTACAGGATGAAAATGAAAACGACCTACAAGCACATTATTGACTGCCGCAGCCATTGCCACCGGAAATATCACTAAAATACAATATCAATCAGAGGCGAATTTCTAAACCTGAAAGAAAAATTAATTATCTTATTCTGCGTCTCGATAGTCTTCTTTACACCCAAGGATGGTCGAACCAATGATAACAACCACCATTGCACTTTGCGGACAGAATAATGTTGATTTCGGCCACTTATGGGATAGTTGTTAAAGCTTCAAAATCACAAGAAGAATAAGAAAATTGCCCCAGGCAGAATAGGGGGAAAAAGAAATAGGGGTCGATATGTTGCGCTTGGCTGTCTGGGTATTTGCCAGGTCTTGCGTTGGCATGAACTACTAGAATCGCCCTTCGTATTTATTATTATTATCCCTTTAGAATTTATTTTCAGTATCGAGGCCCCTAAAATAAAGCAAGAATTGGGAGCTTGAATCATGATATGCTGCCTGAGAGACGTACATCTACCTCCTTTGCGTGCCTTTTTGACGAAGCTTTACTGCTTCCGTCATGGACATGCCTTCTTTAATAGCGTGCAGCATTTGTTTTTCGACTTTGGACAGTGACTCCAGCACTTGAAGCACTTCATCTGCCAAGTTCAAGGGTAGACAAACCATTCCGTTAAGGTCCCCTATCAAAATATCCCCTGCTCCCACCAATAACTTGGAATCGCCATGCTCAAATGGGATCGTGTGATTGACCTGAAGGTAAATTTCATTAGATGGGTTTCCATTCAGTACCATAATCATTCAACAGCACTTACCTTACTCACATATGCGATTGAGTGCGGCGGAGATGGGCTGGTTCCCGTAGCAAATGTCTGCCAGCCGGACGAGTATTAATGATAGCCAAGTAAGCGAGATGAACTGTTGGCGAACGTACCGGGAATTGAAGATCTCTCAATTCATCAAGATCTCTAATCAAACCATTGACCGCAACACCGGCCACGCCGCATACTTTGGCTCGTTGAGTAGCTAGGCCGCCCCAACATGCAGTCGCCAGTCCCGGTGGAGTATCAATCAATATAATCGATGCACGGGGAGCCTTATCGACCTATATTTGAACGGATCAGTGATTGTGGAAGCTGTGGAGATAATGACCATCGGGCAGTCGTGAGCACATACAAAATGCCCTTCTACTTTTTGGTTTGCATTGCCTTCGCGGATTAGGTCATAGCGGACCGTGAAGGCAGTACCAATGATTTTGGTAGGCCCAACCTGCTGGTGAGGTGACCATAATCTTATTCCTGGAAGCACACCACAACCAGGAACTCTTAGTTGGGCGAGGGCATCGGCAACATCACAACTGTTAGGCAATAGCCAATTAGCTGAGAGTCCTGACCAGGCTTGGCAAGAATAAGTATACAAGAGAATGAGGAATATAGTCGAATGTTATCTGGGGCTGTATAACCAACCCTGGGACTAACCTGCTATATTGCTGCAGAGCTAGAATGATTTGGCCAACTTCCATAGCTAATTAATGTCTTTTGAGAGTTCTTGGACTATACAAATTCAATAAATGCTATTTCTTTGGCTACTGTAACTGTCCAACTTGACATTTTGATGCTTTTAGACTGGCTTTTGAAGTTTGGGGTTAGGTCCGACAGTAACCGGCACCAGCAAATGCCCTCCAAACGCAACCCCGCCTTGTCCGTCTGCCATTTCTTGCTGTATGTTACAAAAAGTGGTTCATTATTCTACATTCATCTTTGCAATACAAATTGGACCCTGACTTAGCATATCTTGGCATACCTTTTTTTTGAATAAATGTAACAAGATAAGGGATCATCCAACCGACGATCCGTAACATAATGTCGGCAAGCACGCACATTCACCCCCGAGCTTATAAGGCGTGTCTAGCGTGCCGACAGCGGAAATCCCGCTGTGAACTTGGCGTCGGATGGAAGCCCGGAGAAGCCTGTAAACGATGCCACAGGCAAATGAGGGCATGCGTCTTTCCTACCGACCGAGCTGCAGTGACGAACCGTTCCGCATCCTCCGATATATCCCGTGACTCCCAGACCGCCAACGCCACATCATCCGCGCCTTCAGCAGACTCATCGAGACAGCTATCGTCGGCTTCGTGGTCGGCAGCGGCGTCGAGAGAATCCGCTGCTTCTATAGCGCCGCCGGATGGCCTGGCTGGGCCCGTCATGCGTACCATGATTTCGAACAGCGATGATGCCCTTGAAGTCTTGTTCGATCCGGTGCAACACGGATCCTCTCCGACCGTGTCAAGTGTATCCACAAATCCAGCGCCACTCGCCCAGAATCCTCAGAACTCCCGTGCTGGCCACAGGATATGGAATGCTTGTCGATTCGTAAAGCAGGGATGGCTGACCGCTGGCGAAGCCGTCTTCTTTGTTGACAAGTAAGTCGTCCGCTGGTTGGGGGGGGGATCTCAGGATCATCAAAGTAGGTACATACTAATCAGTTCCATGCTCAGATTCTTTGCAAACTTGCAGATTTTAACTCCAATTCTGACTGACTTCTATGGGGAACATGAAAATCATCAATCTTTGATCTCGTCTGAGCCATTGCTCTGCTGTACCATACTAGGCATCTCTGCTCGACATCATGCCCTCCCATGTGTAGGAGGGGCAATGAGAAGCTTCTATATCCATGAGCGACTGTGGACTCACATCCAGCACCTATTACTACGCGTGCTGCTCGGTCAAGAAAAGAACTCATATGGCAAAACACGCTCGGTGGGTACCATTGAGGCTTTACTACTACTTGCTGAGTGGCATCCTCGGGCTTTGTCGGTCCCACCACCAATCGATGGGTGGGACTCGGATCTTCTCGTCCATTGGCCTGAAGATGCCAACCACCAGCAAAATGACGAGAGCAACGAGGCTCGGGATAGGTGGCTAGAAGATGTCATCATTCCAGCCAAACGATGTGGGCACATGTCTTGGATGTTGATCAATTGTGCCCTCTCCCTGTCCCTTGAACTAGAACTGTTCGATGAGAACGATATTCCTGATGCCGATGCTGTTGACGTAGCAAGGCGGCTTAGGATACAGACACTGCTTTATGTCTACACTGAACAAGTAGCATTACAACACGGGCGACAGACGACACTCCCACAAGGGGTCATCCGACAAGTCCCTCGGCTGATTACAAGTACAGTCGATCATGAGGTTGAGTATTCGGTGCTCAAGCCGTGGCTCGAAATCACAAAGCTTACGAGACTCGTAATGGAGACCATGTATCCATCTTCTGCGCATACCGCACAACTTTTACATAACGGTCGCTACATGAACCTGATAGATCATTTTCAGCCAATGCTAAAGACATGGGAAGATAACTATTTGCACAAGGCTGACCTGGGTATGTCAATCCCCCATCTTGTAAATGTTGCTCAAGTCACTGACACCAAGTGGGACAGTCTCTGATGTTCATGGAGTCTTACTCTGTATTGAATATAACAGCACGAGGCTATATTGCTACTCTATAGGATTACAGGGCATTATTGAGCGAAGCGCAGTGCAACACGGGGGACACAGACAAGGCAGCCAAAGTATCACCAGTCAGGTACTGGATCAATCTGACTACCAGCTAATCACTGAGGTCGTCAGATGCAGTTGTGAAGTTCTCAAGGCCGCTTTGAAACTGGAGGAACAGCACATTCTACAGCATGTTCCGACTCGTGTTATGATGCGCGTCATCTCAGGTTCAATATTTCTCATGAAGAGTCTGGGAGTAGGAGTCGAAGCATCTACTTTGAACGCATCGCTGGAGTTACTCCAAAAGGCCATCGGAGCCTTCAGATCGAACGCAGTTGATGAAATGCAACTCGGATTCCGATATGCCGCCTTGCTAGAACTACACCTCAGCAGGTTACAGAGCAGTTTTGTGCCATCGGCGCATCCGGGCTGTATTCCCTTTTCTACCGGTATTCAAGATCCGACTGCCATGGATCACGGGGACGTGCAGCAAGTTCAAACATGGTTCAGTCTCCCTGCTGATGCAACATTTGCAATGGCCGAAATGGGAGAAATACAGGGGTTCCCGAATTTCGATGATGGGTCTCTGGACTTTGTATGGAATCTGGAGTTTCCTGATCAGCTATGAAAAGACTGTGCCAATTGCCATGACCACCTCAAATTAAAACCCGAGGACAGTTTTTGTACACATCTACATTGATAAGGTCTTATCTGGAACTGAGATTCCTCGCTGGATCATTCACCACAGAAAAATATGCGACAAGATCGACACGCGGATACTCTCGGCCCCAATACCCCCCGTCCTGAGAGCGGCCCGGAAGCCACCCACACCACCTAACCTAGTAGCTTATACTGGATGAAGCCTTTGTTCAGAGAATGTATTTTAAATCAAGCTCTCCCGGGTAAGATGCTGCCAAAATATTCTGCAAGCCGATATGTACTTATAACAACATACGCCAAATACACACAAAGACTGAGCAACCTTCCGCGGACAGACATGTCAACTCTTAGCACCGCCAATGAATTGGCTACCCGCCTAGGCTACCGCTTTTCCAACAACTGTCGAATTACCCACGGATCTGGTGCCAATGTCAAGAAACCCTTTCCTGAAATGAATCTGACAATGCACGAATTGGTCGCAGGATCCACGAAACGTTTCGCAGGGCAGCTTGGCTTCATCGAGTTCAGTACTGATCTCAGGCTGCCTCGGCATGTGCATATGGATCTGGACAAAAAGAGATTGACAGACGAGAGAATCATGGTCCTCCATGGCGCTGGGATGGTGGAAATCGCGGGGGAGATCTATGTAGTTGCCCCCGGCTCTTTGGTTGATGCCATTGGCGGCGTCCCACATACCTGGACGGCCTGTCCACCAGGCATTCGTCTACCGGATGGTACAATCACCAACGGCAAATTCACCATGGTTTATGAGTACGAAGAGCCCACAGCATTTTTCCCGACTGCTTCTGCTCAGCCGATTACAGATGCTTCTCAGTATCAGGAGTTCCGGGGCAACCTGGATGATATAAGGTTCCCTGTTCTCAGCGCTTCCGAAGTGGTGCAAAGGGCCTCTATAGTCTTTGGAAAGGAGCTTCTACGACTGAAGTTGGTCTAAGAAGTGTTTTGCGAGGGGTCCGACCGTGGCTGCACATTTAGAATAGTAATGTTTTTGTGATTAAGGATGTTGGCATGGTTTGCCAGTTTCGGTATCTATCGCAGTAAGAGTATTTACTTGGCTAGAGGTTGAACCCAAAATGTTATATATTAGACTACTTGCTACACAACATCCGCTGGCCCGAACAATCGGAAGCCCCCCGACTGATTAAAAGATGGATCCAAGTCGAAGCCTGCGACGGTTATCGTCTTCATGACTTGAGGTTTTCTGCTCATCAAGGTCTCAGCATCCATGGCTTGCATCATAGCCATGAAATGAGGTTCCAACATGTGCTGTTCAGTGGCATCGACAGAGTTATACCTAACCCATCTTGTTGTCAGTGCATAAATGTGCACGCCACCTGAAAGGATTGGACTCACGTCTCAAAGAGGCAGAAACTCGGAGGTTGAGTTTGCATTTCCTCAGTCAGGAGAAAGCGTAAAGCGTATGGTTCTTTTTCCCGCACTTGTTCGCACTGGGTCCTTAGGAGGTCTCGCATCTTGAGAGACGACAATATCAATCAGCAAACTCTGGTAACAAGAGGCCTGCAAGTACTAACCCGATCGGTTGTATCAGATTTCGCGAAGAAGACAGCAAAAATATGCACCTGCGACATTTTTATATAGTCTGGCGAAAAGCAATTATAGACTTAGGAACGTTGCCAAGGCTAGAAATAATAATTCTGGATGATGGAGGCATGGATGGATGTCTCTGCAGTTCGACTTTATGAAATGGCAAAGCACCTCAAATAATCATCTTCGGCTACAGTCACTATACCCTAGAAAACTGAGTTTCAAGAGTGCACACTATCGCTTGAATAACTATGAACCGGGAAGCTGTGGAATGCTGCGGGATCCCGCGGATAGGACAGGTACATGGCGGACCTGACTCGGAATCCTTTAGCGACACGGCGGCTTTGGGGTAGTACGTAGATCGGTGGCCTGGCTGCTGCAAATGGGGATGACAATATATTGTATAGCGTGTAAGTACTATACATCCTGAAATGGACCCTCATGCAACTCGTTCCACTGCGCTTTTCCTTCTCCACAATATCCATGGGGTCAGACTGGTACTGAAGCATTCTGAAGCACTCCGGCCTAGAAAACCCTGCTGGAGGATAAGGCACATTCGGCACCCACTCCCTAAGAGAGCACTGAGACACCTTCTGTCGTTCGTCACATAATTGACTAGGTTAGTCCATGCTATAGCCCCTCTCGACTTAGTGGCGATTACGATCATTCGAAAACTGTTAGTATAGCGCTTGTGCAACCCTCAAGCATGTAAAAGGGCAGACGACTGTGTCTCTGTCTGATCGATATCTCAAAGCCAACCCCCAACAAATCAAGCACAATGAAGCGTGGCGCGGAAGCTTGCACTGTTTGTCGGGCCCGAAAAGTAAGATGTGATATTTCTCAAAAGATACCAGTAAGCAACTTCCGATGTCATTTCTCCCCTTCCCTGGGTTGTCTCATGAGCGAGCATTACCCAAATCAGTGCTTCCAGAGAGCAAACTCGGACAAAATGCTCAAAAGAGTTGCTTCAAACTCAATTGTCTACCCGAATAGACAATTGTTAACACATGTTGTTGTAGTGTAGCAACTGCAAATGGCATGAGGTGAAATGTACACCACAGAAGTACAAATACCGAAGGAGGTGAGTTACCACAAAAATGTCTCCTGGTCACTTAATAAAGCTTCGCCAAGAAACTAACAAAAACGAGTGCTAGGTCTAGATTATCAACCCGGAAACATGCCGAGCGGGAATGTGTGCCTCAGTTACCAGCAAGCGATGAAAACTCACATGAGCTGTTCCGAATTACTACACCATCTAACATTGCCACCACCCCCATGGACACATTTCCACAAGATACCTCCCGCTTAGAAGTGCTCCAACAGGAAGAAAACCTTCTCGAGTTGGATGAGGATATTCGGATTCTCGATTGTAAGCTATCTCATTGTAAGAATGCAAGTTCAACCAGCTAAGGCAAACCGAAGCCTCTGGAGACGCCGGTCAGTCTGCACACGAAATTGTTTCTTTTGATCTCGATGGCGCTGTTGAATCATCTATAGTCGATGTTTTAGAAGTGCAATCGGATGGCTTTCTGCCAAATGAGGCATATCACGGCGGGTGCAACTCACCGAATGCCCATCAGCAGTCGAGTCTCTTGGTGGAGGTACCGACCAGGGCTCACAATGATTCAACACGACTGCCAGCATTCATCCGACCGCTGGAATCAAATTTGACAACTTTTGGTGACTACTCATCATCCGGATTGCTTAATTTGCCCCTATTTGAGGTCCAGCAATCCATGTTGAAGCTATTTGTCACTTTTGTTTATCCAGATCTGCCTGTTTTGGACTTGGGACACTTCCTTCGCGCTGTTACATCACCAAGCTCTTCATCCGAACAAGTCAGCCTATTACTATTCTATGCCGTCATTTTCTCGTCTTTATCATATCTCGACATCCCCATGCTCGAGATGGCTGGTTACGATAGCAGAGAGACTGCCCGCAATGACATCAACAGCAAAATAAACGTGCGAAAGCACCTTTTTCTCTTCTTCTATTTTCCTTTGAACACATCTTTTCTAACATAAAACAGCTATTGTATGATTCAAACTACGAGAACGATCACATGACCCGCGTCCAATCATTACTACTGCAAGCCAGTGGCCAGGACGTCGCGGATAATTACAGGGTTGCTTGGTACTACACGGGCAATGCTATCTCACTAGCTTTTTCTCCGCACTTTTATGAGGGCGAAGCAAGTGACACACCAAGCCTATTCGCATCAAGGGAAAAGCTTGGGCGGAGACTATCATGGTTGTGCTTAATGGCTGATTATGAGATAGGATGCATTTCAGGCAGACCGACTCGGATATTTGAAGAGGACCACAATCTCGACGAGGATGATTTCCGGTATGAGCCGGGTGAGCTGAAAATTGACGGCTTCATCGTTAAAGACGAATCAGAAAGAACAAGCCTATTTACTTCATTAGCACAGCATAGGGATCTGTGCGTCGCAAAAGTCAACCTATGTGTATGCATCATGAAAGCCAAAAGATTGCAATATCCAGTCTTTGTCAACCAATACCAGACTGATGTAGGAAATGGAGCCCGATGTGGGTTGGAAGAATGTCAGAGAAGCCAAGTGCTCTTGGACAACCTGCCGCTCGAGACTTGGTATGATCAGCTTCCGGTATCCTGTTCTTGGCCAGAGCAGTCAAGGCGACCCACGGATATGTACAATAAAAGTCAGCTAATCAAACGCGCGATGGTTCATATACTGTACCATTCCGCCGTCTCGAGCTTGTACCGGGGATTTCTACATCGTGGCCCCTCGCATCGGTGCCAAATCCATTCATTTTCGGAAATCAAGATTCGAGAATCATCGATCAAAATCGCCCACATTATTCAGGTACTCTGCCAGTTGGACATACAACGTTATCTGCCAATACATGGTGTCCACATTGTGGCCGTGGCTGCCGATGATCTGGCCATATCTGCAGTCCACGGTTGTTCCCATGTTCGAGAAAGGTCTTCTCAAGGATACGAAATTTGTTTCAAATTGCTCGAGAGCCTGAGAGGCGATGTCACGATTGCAAGACATGCTATTGAGACAATGCAGAGTAGGCAGTTCGAAACGAGTGAAAGGTCACAAACGGAAAGCTTTGCTCAATCCAATATCACTAGGACATGGTCAAGTGGATCTTTATCACTGGTAGAGAGCCTTTCCAGTCACATAGTGGAATGACATCTACAAGCCGAAAAGTCCTTGTCATCAGATTTGGTCTGCATCTCTTGTTTCAAATCACCGTAAATAAAATCAGAAAACAGTTTCATGCACGAGTAAAACATATATGCATCAGTGCGTGGAAGCGGTATCAAATTCAACCATTGATCTCCATCTGCGTGAGGCTGTTTTGGCTGTTGAGACGTGTGCCTCTTTGTCTAATTGAATTGGACAGAAGAAGAACTGCCATAAGCCAGAAATACCAAATATTTCTTCAAAGCACTTCAGAAGCACTTCAGGCAGCTATTACACATCATATGGTCTCGTTATTGCTATCAGTGTTACTTAAGCTATGCATCTTATTGCCTGTTGACGGAGTAGGTGACAAAGTCCTGCAACTTCTAGATCTATTAGGCCATGCCGCTAAGTCGCAAAGAATCGGGGTTGTTGTCCAGTGGCCACAGCTGCATCGGTAATCAGTCGATTGGCACGGCGCAGATCCCACTTGAGGCCCAGACTGATGCACCCGCTCGCGGCAGAGAAACCAATAAGCAGAAACATGGCCAACAGATATCGAGGCTCATCTTGTTCCCTAAAGAAATATGGACTGATGATGTTACCCAGCTGAGCAAGAACGTTTAGCATGGAGGTGGCGACAGCCTTCTTCTCTGGAGTTTGGTTGAGCACATTTGCCGCCCAACCGTATATGAGGCCATTTGCAGCATAACAACCCGACACGTAAAGGAATGAGGCCGCATATCTCGTTGGACCATTGAGTGTGGCTACAGAGACGATGAAGCCCGCTGCTGCAATATATGCCGGTACAGCGATATGATATCCTCGTTCACCGCGGCTGTCGCTGGACCAGGAGACCACAACCGACATGACAGCTCCGACAAGATAAGGGGGAGAGGTGCAGAGTAAAGTCACAATGGTTGAGCCAAATCCAAAGCCTTTCACGATTGAAGGAAAGAAGTAACTGAACCCGAATGCAGCATGGTTGCACAGAAGTAGCATAACCTGGAACACACGATTTAGCTTAATCATCATCGCTTCATTGTTCCAATCGCACTACTACTTACAAATGCCCAAGTCCGACGGTCAGATACGGCCAAGCGCAAGCCATATAATAGAGATCTATTAGACTCTTGCGTGACACTGTCGGCGGCGATGCGCTCGAGTGCCACTTTTTGCTCCTCTTCGCTCAGAAGCCATCTCTGACTACCCGTCGCAGCCTCTGGGAAGTCGGGCAACAAGAACATTGAAGCAACGGCAAGGAGAAAATTGACCGATCCCACAATGATGTAAAGCCACTAGAATCACAGGGTTACCAAGGGGATTCGGCAAAGCTGCATCGAGTGGTTCTTCGCACTTACCCTCCAGCCGGCCAATCCCAGCGCATGATCGAGACGGGAGAAAACACCGGCAGCAATCAGACCAGAAAAGGCAATTGCGACAATAAGCCCCGTGTACATGAATGCCATTCGTAAGCCCAACTCCTTTCTGGTGTACCAACACGATAAAAGATAATAGACCCCGGGAAAGAATGGAGCCTCTGCGATTCCCAGAAGACACCGGACAGTAATAAGCTGTCCAAAGTTCTGAACTGCTCCGGTCGACGCTGAAACGATGGACCACGCGCAAGCCCACAGTGGTATATAGAGCGATGGTCGTACCCGGGTAAGGATCATATTGCTCAGAATCTGCATGGCCATGTAGCTATTCAGGATTAGAATATGCTTTGTATTAACAGAGGGTTTCTTCTTCTTCTTCTTCATCTTTATGTTCTACACAAGAGGACTTATATGAAAATCAAACTTGCCCGACATTGAGAATTGACACGACAGTGTTGAAATCTTCACCGGAAAGACTCAAATCTTCTTTGATGCTATTCAGGTTTGCTGAGCTGGACACACAGTTAGTCCTTTTCCCAACGCAGTACAGTTCCAACGGGGGATCTTGGTGCGCACGAGATACTGTTTCTATCCAGATAATTGAAGAGATACAAAACCCATATCATGGGCATCAATGTCAGATCCAGCTTGCGTACGAGACTGCGCGAGACGGCGTGCCAATGATCGTCCAAGATAGGACCATCATTAATGCAATTGGTCTCATTCGCTTTGGCTTTGGGCACAGTTTCGCAGTGATCCGTGTGCTGCGTTTGCATTTTTGTAGAACCGGAATCGTTTTCAGACGGCATCATGTATTGTTCGTTCAATGTGCGGGCAGGCTTGGAACTCAGTACAATCATGAGTATTTGATGCCTTCATTTAGATATGGCCTCGTGCTTACACCGCATATCGCACGTTGGTAGTCATGGTCTCTCCTTATAATGGATCCTCCTCATGGCGAGCTAGACAAGGGCTGATGATAGAAATATAATGCCATGGCTTTCAACCCCACGGGGAAACCCCATACCGGGAACTCTGCCGTGGGCAACCGACCTTTACCTACTGTTGGATAGTTCAACGTCTGCTAGAGACGGCGTACGTACTCTCTATGCTGCTCTACTACAGCGGTGTTGAATCGAGATCTCAACTATGCGTTGATTGGACAAAAATCTACCTACTAGCAGCTGGAGAATCGGCTCGCAAAGATGTGTGGAGAGCATTTATAGCGGACTGCCAGTGATGCTCCGCGCCCAGGGCCGCGGCGTTCCGGTCCAAATAGTATTTCATCTCATTTTTACTTTTCTAACTTTGCTTCTTGTACTCGCACTCTGTCATTGTCGCCACGGCTGTTGAAGCATGCATGTACGATGCTGGACGGTTGGATATTGGAGTGGTTCCGCCCATTTGATGCCGACACTATCCGGCATTAGCTTTGCCATCTCCTTGATTCCTCTTTTCCTTTTTCCTAGACTCTTGCGAGATCTGGTTCTGCTATTCCAGAGCTGGCCATCGTAGCTCGGATGATCGAAATCTCCTTGCCAAGACCATTTGAAGGGAGGTATTGATATCCGATCAATCTAAGTCAAAGCGGCGGACTCGTACAGGGGCAGTAGATGTAGTATTTCATTCCAGTGCAAACCAAGGTTCAAACTCGAGGACGTTTCTGCAGGACAAGACCTGCACTACTAAGAAACAACAGGGACAAGTCACATTGACCTGGGCTGGTCCAGATACACACGCACAAATCGGGCGCAATTGAAATGTAGATCACAGAATGAAACGACATCGTCACGGTGTAAGGACGATGCCGAGATTAACGAAGGATCCATCTTTCCCAAGATTGTTTACTCTCCAAGCTCCTCCTTGATACATGACCAAGGCGCAATGCCCATCGAGAGAGGGCGCTGCATGATCTGGAGGGCTCGTTGCTATCTGGAGAGGAAAAGGGAAAAGAGAAGAAGCTCAAAAATATTGCGGCGCAATTTTGGCCAATTTGAAGGTTCGTGGAGCGTGGGGCCAGGGACCCGCGAGGCGCGACGGTGGGGACCAACCGGTGCACGGGACCAGATGGTCACGCTACGTACAGCAATAGAAAGAGCTATGGCTGTGGTGGCGGTGCGTGAAACCCATCTGGGTCGAAGCAAAAAGAGGCTGACTTTCTGCCGCCACTTGATTGGTCGAGGCATTTACCGAGGAGCCGACCCGACTGCTTCCGCTTTAGAGGACATCATCGAGAGAGAGAGAGATTGGAGAGGCGTCGGATTGAGCGTACCTAGCATTTACCTAGTGCGTCGATTTGATCTGCCTTGCTTCGCTCCGTTTGACGGCATCGACGACATCGAGCCAATTGACCAAAACAACTTGCCAAACGGTCATAAAGGGAAGATACTATTCAAAATGATTGGCCAAAGAGTCGGTCTCTCGGCCGTGCGCCAGGGTAAGTCGCTGTTCATTACTTGCTCGAAAGCCAAGAAAGAGGGAGGAAAGTTGCGCGGCTGCAAAGACACGCATTGTTACAAGACATGGCAAGTCGCTGCAAAGCAAAGGGGATCAACGAATACCACAGCCGGAGATATAGCAGCTTCCACGATGGCAGGATAGGGTGGGAGCGCCAGAAAGAGCCCGTTCGGCCATCGAAACAACCCGATCACGAGCAACCACCATTCAGCGGGATTCGCTAACATCAAAACCACAGTCGCAAAGAGCCCCAATGCCCTTTTCCTGTCCCAGAACCTGCCTCGTCTGGCTATGGGCATGCAAGCTAGGTCCGTGTTCCTTCTGCCAGACACTGCTTGACCTTGCGATCTCTCGAGCTAACCGTTGCATCCTCTTTGCTCACATCTAGACCCGCTTCCACCACAAAACTCACCGAGGCCGATGCCCAATCCCTCCTCGCTTCCCAGCGCCGCAGCCGACCCGTAGCACCGCATCTGCAGATTTACGACCCCAGCCAGACCTTCTTCACCAGCTCCATCTGGACGCGTATCACGGGTAGCATCTTCTCCGGCGGCCTCTACGTCTTTGGTGCCGCCTACCTCGTGGCTCCCCTGCTTGGCTGGCACCTCGAGTCGGCATCCATCGCCGCCGCATTTGGTGCTCTCCCCGTCGCCGCCAAGGGCGCCCTCAAGTTCCTGCTCGCCTGGCCCTTTGTCGGCCACTGCGTGAACGGCATCCGTCACCTTGTCTTTGACTTTGCCAAGGGCTTCAGCAAGTCTAACATCAAGACCGTCGGCAACGTTCTTTGGGGCACCACTCTGGTTTCCGCCCTGGGTCTGGCTTTCCTTTTGTAAAGACAAGACATGAGAAGCGACGAATATAATAAAAGAGAGAGGGAGAAAACAGAACAGGAAACCAATGGACGACTGACCAAAGTCGAGAAAACGTCACTATCCGAGTGCCAATTTGAGCGACCACTTGCACGACGGCTGGTCAGATACCACAGCTGCTGAGGCGCACACGGATCTAGAGGTGGATTAAAGGCGTCTTGTACATGTGTAGAACTGTATGAATTTTAGTGGAAATGCAGTGCAATTTACAAATTACTTCAAAGCCAGATCCGTCCATCGGGTCATGTCGAGCTGCTCCTGATGCTCTACAAGGTCTACAATATTCATATACTGCAGGGTAGCTAACCATGGACTGTCTCCATTTCTGGACCATAAAACATCCACCTTAATGTGATGAGACAATATAGGTAGCGCTGGGAATATAATGATGCCACAATTCCTATTCTTCGGGAACGAGTGCCCGTCTACCTAGGTAACGAGCTGACTGCTTTCGAAGACTTGAAATCGCCTGAAATCAAATATTTTCTCTGTCATTAAGCACAGCAATGTAGCAGGGTGTAATGATTCCATATCGAAGCAGCCCCTTGAATTCCGCGCTCGACACCTAAAACAATTTGTCTCGAGTTGAAAACCTTTACCAAAAATAAGGGCAAAACCTCAACCAAATCGATGCCTAGGGCCCGACCATGTATATTTGTACCAGAACGCCGTTCGCCTAAATGATGCATCCTCTCTGCCGGGGGTATATAAAGGAAGATACCCACGAGTGACTGGGCGTTGTCCTGCTTGGGCATATTACATAACTTTCCACCTAATGAAGAAAAGAAAAATTCTTCATACTTTTTGTCGTCCCACAAACCGTCACGGGATCATGAGGAGTACAATGCACCTTTAGTGGGCACTGAAAGCTCTGGCATCAAGCACAGTCTGGACGAGCTGGTGGTCTCCTAGCCTTGCAACCCTCTCACCGATCAAGTCGCCAAGGAACTCCTTCAATTCCGAAGTCTCGCGATCGCTGGTGCCGTTGACGCCGTTGGCCATAAGGAGATTTTGTTCGGGAAGCAAGGTCCTTATAGCTTTGATAATGGCACCCAGGATGGCTTCCAACTCAATTTGGTTGCTGTCATTTCCACCTTCCTTGAGCTTTTGAAGCATGCCATCCGAGAAGTTCTTGAAGTTCTGCAAGGCCAGCACCCGGATGGATTCAGGCCCACCAGCAGCTGACAAGCCCAGAATGGCTCCATACCACACGGACGCTGGCATGTTGATGTCAAGAAAGTGCTTGAGACACGTCCGAGTCATCTTGGGCCGAAGCATCTTGTTAGACGTAGCATACTTTTGACAGATACGGCCAATGAGACTGGCGCTGAACTCGCGGAGTAGGTAGACTTCGTTCAGCCAATCTTGGCCGTTCTCATTACCCAGTTTACGCCCTAGTAAACAAGTGAGGACAGGTGCTGAGAGTGGACTGGCATAAGGGTCCAAGTAGATCTCAGGATTCTCCACAAGGGCGTCTGTGAGTTCCATCATCCGGCGAAGTATGAAGAGGTCGTCCATATGGTGAGACACTTCGTTACATATGAAGTTGACAAAGTACGGGACAAGTTGGTGAATGCCAGGGTCCGACTTGACTGATTCGAGGGCTGCTGCGCGTAATTCTTGGGCTACAGGCTCGGGGTTGTCGTCCAACAGCGCAGATTGTACCTTTTCAAAGTAGAGAGTGAGCTCGGTGCTGATGATGTGTTTGACTGCCGGCCGGAAGTTTGCGCCTTGGTTGCCGGCAACAGCAGGCAGGGCTGGATTGGCACCTGGCCCCTTAGGCAGGAGTTCTTGGGATCGCGACTCATTCGTGCTCGGGTTCTGGGGGATGGTAGGTTGAACGCCTTCAATAGCTAGCCAATGACCTGTAACAAGGGAAGATAGAAATGAGCGAGTGTCTCGGTGTTGCGCTACACAGCAGATGGACATACCAGTAAAGTTGCTGTCCCGAGGAACTTTGGGCAACGGGTTGTTGATTAGCTTCTCAAAGTCGACTTCTTCGTCTTCAAGGTAAAAGATGGGCTGGCCGGTGCCAATGCCAGCTTCACCGTATCTGAGAGGTCGCGTGCTATCGTATCCATAGAGCGGCTCGACGTCAAGGACTTTCAAGGCCGAAGCGATATCTTGGGTGGTAAGCGTTGAGCGTTTTGCGCCTTTCATGAATCGAAGCGCTTCAATGATGACCTGCCCGATGCGATACTCGACGTCCTGTGCCAGCGTGCGCAAGGCCTCCTCGTTAAGGTTGCCGATCCCAAGGGACTCTGCGACATCCTTTACATTGTCCGGATTCCAGAGCAGAGCCGTCTCCTTTGGCTTGGAAGCGGCATCCTGCGGAGCCGGGGCTCGGGCTGCATTGTTTGATGCCATCGCACAAGATGCTCGAGTTGTCTATCGGTGATGTGGAGATGTGGCAGCCGAAAACTGGAGAGGAACAGATGGCAAGGAATGATCACAAATCCTTTTTCCGTGTCTGAAATCGCTCCGGATATGGTGTTTTGTAGTTTGACTTCCCAGGAGACACGCCGAAAAGCTCCGCGACTTATGTGAATGGGCGATGGAGGCTGGAACTTGGAGGGGCCAATATTTACGGCTACTGGCAAGCGCGCATCACTGGCTGGGCCCTTCTTTGCAGTGTTGATTGCGCCGCCGAGGAGTGCAAATTTGTGTCTTCGACCCTAGTCTGGAGTCGAGAGTCTGCGGTGTAAGAAAGTGGTGTGGAATCTTGATGTTGCGTCGTTTGTTTGGTTGTCCTTAGGTAGTTGGCGAGCTACCAACGGCGTTGAACGTAGGCAATGTAGGTAGGTAAGTATGTGAGCTTCAGAAGTGTTTGTGGCTGTTCGACAAGGCTAGGTTAGTTGAGTGAGTGTACGGCCTGGGGTAAGACGGGGATTGAAGTTCCTCTATCATTAGTGGACAAACTTCAGCCTCCCGTGCCGCTAGCTTACCTTATAGGTATGGTAGCGCCCTAAACAACGAACCCTCCACCCCGCTGCTAAGGTAAAGTCAATTGCAGGTACGGTCAACCTATGCGCCAGACCTGCTTACATGTATGCCTCATTATGGAAATATACATCACCTGCCGTTTGATCACGCAGCAAACCCAGAGACAGATCTTGTCGAACCTATATATTGACTCGCATTATTTGAAGTTGTGCCAAATGGATTGACAAGCTTGAGCCCATTTCTAGTATACTTGACTGGGGTGAGCACACACTCACCATTGGCATGGAATTTATATAGACATCCATCATATAGTTCCTTGTTATACATGAAGTCACTGACAAGGTGATTCAATATTATGATTGTTTATTTGGATTTCCCCCGAACCATTTTGTCATATGTATCGCTAAATCCACTGTCCTTTCCCCTGTTTTCTTGCGTGCGTTACATGTAGCAAAACTTCTAGCTTAGAATCACACGTGTCTAGGCAGGCAAAGATGCAGGTTTATAGTCTCTCACGACCATAAGTAGGAGCAGCAGCGGGCTTGTTGTCCAGAATCGACTCAATCTCCTCCAAGATCTCGGGCGTAATCTTGTCAGACAGCTTGAGAGCCTTGATGTTGTCCTCAATCTGCTCAATCTTGGTAGCACCCAGAATGACGGTGCTCACGTTGGGGTTCTTCAGGCACCAGGCGAGTGAAAGCTGTCCCACGTTGCCGCCCAGTCTTTCCGCAATGGCAGTCAACTTCTTGACCTTCTCAATCTTGGCCTTTCCCTCGTCCGTCTGCAGCTGCTTGATGCTGTTCTCGAAGAAGGTCTTGTTCGTGGCGTAGCGCGAGTCCTCGGGAATGCCGTCGTTGTACTTGCCGGTCAGCAGACCAGAGGCGAGCGGCGACCAGATTGTAGTTCCATACTGGAACTGCTTGTACAGAGGAGCGTATTCAACTTCGAAACGCTGGCGGTGGAAGGCATTGTACTGGGGCTGCTCGACTACTGGGGCAATAAGGTTGTACTTCTCAGCAATCTGGGTGGCCTCCATGATCTGGACGGCGGACCACTCCGAGGTTCCCCAGTAGTAGGCAAGGTTGAGATTGCGGATGGCCTGCGTGAAGCCTTCGACAATCTCCTTCATGGGAGTGGCGGGGTCTGGGCGGTGCGCAAAGACAATGTCGACGTAAGGCTGCTGCAACCGCTCCAAGGAGCTCTTCAGTCCCTCGACAATGTGCTTCCAGCTCAGACCACGGGTGTTGGGCTCCTTGCGGCCGGTACCGAAGAAAATCTTGGTCGTCAAAACGTACTCATCCCTCGGCCAGTCGAGCTCCTTCAGCGCCTGGCCCATTTCAACCTCGGACTCGCCCGAGGCATAGGTCTCGGCGGTATCAAAGGTGTTGATGCCATGGTCCCAGGCGGTCTGCAGGCACTTTTTCACAATCTCGCCCTTTTGAGTACCTCCGTAGGTGAGCCAGCCACCAAGAGAGAAGACGCTCACCTTGAGACCAGTCGGTCCCAGGTGGCGGAACTTCATGTCCTTGGGGTCATAGGCAGAGCGGACAGCAGGCATTTTGCTGGTAGATGATGAGGTTGGTGATGAGGTAGAGTAGTGTCTTGCAGCAAGTGAAGAGATTATTGTTGTTTTCTGAGCAGTACCGAGAATTCGCGGGACACGTAGATACATGCCAGTGGGAGAAGCGGTGATGAGTGATTTCTCAGTCTTGGACCTCTGGGCACGCAATTGTTCTGCACTCCACTCGCAGCGGGTTGATAAGGTATTTATGTACGGCAAAGCGTTAACCGTAGGTACCTACCTTGGCTACAGTCAATACTAGGATGTAATGTATGTACTATGTCATTTCCAATACGATACAGGCAGCTACAGGGGGACCACTGAATGAATGGTGACGCAACGGATGAACCCCGCGCTTTCATCCCGCCAGAAGAGGGACAACCATTAACTCCGATATTTACATTAGTAATCGCTTTCTGAAAGATGCACCCGAGGTTTCGGGCACACAAACCATTGACTTCGTGCAGAATTAGTGGAGCGTATCTGGAAGGAGCCGAGCCCAAGATTGACAATATCTTGCCAATATGTCCTTAACTCTGGATATACAGAGTACAATGAGGGTATACCCAACTTCAGATTGACTAAATCTGACATGATGCAATCCTCTCTCTCTCCCCCGAAAAGCCACAGTCGCTCCATAAACTAGCAGCTGTCGCGTAACCCATTACAGCTGGGGTTATAAGCATTTACTAGTGTCAAATTAGACTCAAGATCACCACAGCTCGCTATACTGCTACTAGGTAATGAGACCCACTGTCGCCCAGATAGGGGAAATCTCTTTGTGTTTGTGTGTGTTTGTGTGTACCTTGGTGGGCATCCCCAAAATGCATATAGCATACAGGTCGCATAAATACCTACCTACCTAAAAACTCTCTATCGGACGCTTGCCGGACATACCTTTCTTCATCCACATGGAACAAGACTATCTTGTCTGTCTGGATCCTTGGCAGCTTTAGTTTTGTTTTGATCAGCACGATTCTCAAGCGGCGCTATAAAACAAGCCTCTTGGCCTAATCCATCGATCACTGGCTGTCTCTTGGGTCTAATAATCCGTCGTAATTGAAGAGATCGCCTGGGGTCATCAATCTTGCTAATAATCTTCGTGCGGTACCTACTCAATGGAAATCCAGCAATATGCAAGCTTTGAAGCTGGCCGATGACATTCACGACAGCGATAGGTGTGTCGGTAGAACCCAGTGTAGCGTCTATCAATGTAGTCATTTGGGGGGGGGGGGGGGGGGGGCACC